GAAAAGTAGGTGCCTCTTCGATTTCTGAGATCGGCCCTCGTGGTCTCTGGGGAGCCCAGCTTTTGAGAAAGCGAGCGCCTCTTCGATTTCTGAGATCGGCCTTTCGTGGTCTTTGAGCAGCCCAACTTTTGAGAAAGCAAACGCCTCTTCGATTTCTGAGATCAACCCTCGTGATCTCTAAGCAGCCCAGCTTTTGAGAAAGCAAACGCCTCTTCGATTTCTGAGCAGGCGCCTCTTCGATTTCTGAAGCTCCGTCGAGTGCAGATTTTTATAGAGGCTGGCATTAAGTTCCAAAGCACACTTGAATCTCCACCAGTAGAAGCTTCATTCTTGCACTTCTAAGATCTTGATTTGTCCGACCTCTTCTCTCTTCAACACCTTTGAAAATGTCTGGCCCCTCCGACCGTCGTTTTGACTTGAACCTTGTTGAAGAGGCAGCCCCGCCTTCTCCAGACAACATATGGCGCCCATCCTTCGTCTCCCCTACTGGTCCTCTTACCGTTGGGGATTCCGTGATGAAGAATGATATGACCGCTGCGGTGGTGGCCAGGAACCTTCTCACTCCCAAAGATAACAGACTACTTTCCAAACGGTCTGATGAGTTAGCTGTTAAGGATTCGCTGGCTCTCAGTGTTCAGTGTGCAGGTTCTGTGTCTAATATGGCCCAACGCCTATTTGCTCGAACCCGCCAAGTTGAATCATTGGCGGCTGAAGTGATGAGTCTCAAACAGGAGATTAGAGGGCTCAAGCATGAGAATAAACAGTTGCACCGGCTCGCACATGACTATGCTACAAACATGAAGAGGAAGCTTGACCAGATGAAGGAAACTGATGGTCAGGTTTTACTTGATCATCAGAGATTTGTGGGTTTGTTCCAAAGGCATTTATTGCCTTCGTCTTCTGGGGCTGTACCGCGTAATGAAGCTCCGAAATGATCAACCTCTGATGCCTCCTCCTTCTAGGGTTCTGTCCAGTACTGAGGCTCCGAAATGATCCCCCTCCGGTGCCTTCTCTTTCTGGGGCTCTACCGACTGCTGAGACTTCTCCTAAGCAACCTTTGTGAAGGCTCCGTCTTGTGTGTTTATTTTGACTCATGTATATGTACATATTTGTAGCTTATCGGGATATCAATAAATAAGCTTTCCTTCATTTCAACGTATTGTGTTAAATACACCAAAGCCTTCTTCGCTAAGTTCTTTGAATTTTCTTTTGTTGAAGCTTGTATGTTGAAGCTTTCTGAGTGGAGCATGTAGGTTGGGGTAGTGTTCCCTTAATTTCCCGAGTGAGGAAAACTTCTCGGTTGGAGACTTGGAAAATCCAAGTCACTGAGTGGGATCGGCTATATGAATCTTAGAACGCCATTGTGCTCGATCCTGTGTCATGTCCTTCGTTAGATCCAAGTACTCTAAGTCTTTTCTTAGAGTCTCTTCCAAAGTTTTCCTAGGTCTTCCTCTACCCCTTCGGCCCTGAACCTCTGTCCCATAGTCGCATCTTCTAATCGGAGCGTCAGTAAGGCCTTCTTTGCACATGTCCAAACCACCGTAACCGATTTTCTCTCATCTTTCCTTCAATTTCGGCTACTCCTACTTTACCCCGGATATCCTCATTCCTAATCTTATCCTTTCTCGTGTGCCCACACATCCAACGAAGCATCCTCATCTCCGCTACACCCATTTTGTGTACGTGTTGATGTTTCACCGCCCAACATTCTGTGCCATACAGCATCGCCGGCCTTATTGCCGTCCTATAAAATTTTCCCTTGAGCTTCAATGGCATACGGCGGTCACACAACACGCCGGATGCACTCTTCCACTTCATCCATCCAGCTTGTATTCTATGGTTGAGATCTCCATCTAATTCTCCGTTCTTTTGCAAGATAGATCCTAGGTAACGAAAACGGTCGCTCTTTGGTATTTCTTGATCTCCGATCCTCACCCCTAACTCGTTTTGGCCTCCATTTGCACTGAACTTGCACTCCATATATTCTGTCTTTGATCGGCTTAGGCGAAGACCTTTAGATTCCAACACTTCTCTCCAAAGGTTAAGCTTTGCATTTACCCCTTCCTGAGTTTCATCTATCAACACTATATCGTCTGCGAAAAGCATACACCAAGGAATATCATCTTGAATATGTCCTGTTAACTCATCCATTACCAACGCAAAAAGGTAAGGGACTTAAGGATGAGCCTTGATGTAATCCTACAGTTATGGGAAAGTTTTTCGGTTTGTCCTTCATGAGTTCTTACGGCAGTCTTTGCTCCTTCATACATATCCTTTATAGCTTGGATATATGCTACTCGTACTCCTTTCTTCTCTAAAATCCTCCAAAGAATGTCTCTTGGGACCCTATCATACGCTTTTTCCAAATCTATAAAGACCATGTGTAAATCCTTTTTCTCATCTCTATATCTTTCCATCAATCTTCGTAAGAGATAGATTGCCTCCATGGTTGAGCGCCCTGGCATGAACCCGAATTGGTTGTCCGAAACCCGTGTCTCTTGCCTCAATCTATGCTCAATGACTCTCTCCCAGAGCTTCATTGTATGACTCATTAGCTTAATACCCCTATAGTTCATGCAATTTTGTACGTCGCCCTTATTCTTGTAGATAGGCACCAAAGTGCTCGTTCGCCACTCATTTGGCATCTTCTTCGTTTTCAAAATCCTATTGAAAAGGTCAGTGAGCCATGTTATACCTGTCTCTCCCAAAAGTTTCCACACTTCGATTGGTATATTGTCTGGGCCTATTGCTTTTTTATGCTTCATCTTCTTCAAAGCTACAACCACTTCTTCCTTCCGGATTCGACGATAAAAAGAGTAGTTTCTACACTCTTCTGAGTTACTCAACTCCCTTAAAGAATCACTCATTTCATGTCCTTCATTGAAAAGATTATGAAAATAACCTCTCCATCTGTCTTTAACCGCGTTCTCTGTAGCAAGAACCTTTCCATCCTCATCCTTGATGCACCTCACTTGGTTTAGGTCCTTTGTCTTCTTTTCCCTTGCTCTAGATAGTTTATAGATATCCAACTCTCCTTCTTTGGTATCTAGTCGTTTATACATATCGTCGTAAGCCGCTAACTTAGCTTCTCTGACAGCTTTTTTCGCCTCTTGCTTCGCTTTTCTATACCTTTCACCATTTTCATCGGTCCTCTCCTTGTATAAGGCTTTACAACATTCCTTCTTAGCCTTCACCTTTGTTTGTACCTCCTCATTCCACCACCAAGATTCCTTTTGGTGTGGGGCAAAGCCCTTGGACTCTCCTAATACCTCTTTTGCTACTTTTCGGATACAACTAGCCATGGAATCCCACATTTGGCTAGCTTCCCCCTCTCTATCCCACACACATTGGGTGATTACCTTCTCTTTGAAAATGACTTGTTTTTCTTCTTTTAGATTCCACCATCTAGTCCTTGGGCACTTCCAAGTCTTGTTCTTTTGTCTTACTCTTTTGATATGTACATCCATCACCAACAAGCGATGTTGATTAGCCACGCTCTCTCCTGGTATAAACTTTGCAATCCTTACAAGTTATACGATCCCCTTTCCTCATTAGAAGAAAATCTATTTGTGTTTTTGACGACCCACTCTTGTAGGTGATCACATGTTTTCTTCTCTCTTCTTAAAGAAGGTGTTGGCTAAGAAGAGATCATATGCCATTGCAAAATCCAAGATAGCTTCCCCATCCTCGTTTCTCTCCCCAAAACCATGGCCACCATGAAAACCTCCATAGTTGCCTGTCTCCCTGCCCACGTGTCCATTTAAATCTCCTCCTATAAATAACTTCTCCGTCTGAGCAATTCCTTGCACCAAGTCTCCAAGATCTTCCCAAAATTTCTCCTTCGAACTCGTATCCAACCCTACTTGAGGTGCGTACGCACTAATCACATTGATAAGTTCTTGTCCTATTACAATCTTGATTGCCATGATTCTATCTCCTACCCTCTTGACATCTACAACATCTTGTACCAAGGTCTTGTCCACGATGATGCCAACACCGTTTCTCGTTCTATTTGTGCCCGAATACCAAAGTTTAAACCCTGAGTTTTCTAAATCCTTTGCCTTACTACCAACCCACTTAGTTTCTTGTAGACACATAATATTTATCCTTCTCCTCACCATAACTTCCACTACTTTCATAGATTTTCCCGTTAAGGTTCCTATATTCCACGTTCCTAAACGCATTTTGCTCTCTTGAACTCTACCCTTCTGTCCTAACTTCTTCACCCTCCCCCGTCTAATAGGATCAAAGTACTTCTTTTGTGTGTCCCGGGTAAAGTTGATAGGAGCATATGCTCCCAAACAACTTTGAGTGGAGTCGTTCGAAAAGAAGTTTCTATGGCCCCCTTGCTCATTTAACACTGCATCCGGGTGCCGATGGAGATACAGCGACCCTTGCTCACTTATCACTGTGCTCAGGCCACACAGCGCGCCACTTACGGGTGACGCCCTAGCTTTAGCGCGATTTTGTTCTGGATTCATTTTCATAAGGATTCGACGTGATCATGGAGTGCCGGCTGTCGACTACCTGACGCCCTCCCCCTCCTCCTTTATCCGGGCTTGGGACCGGCCATGTAAGACATAGGCGGAGTTCCTTGCACCAAGTCTCCAAGATCTTCCCAAAATTTCTCCTTCGAACTCGTATCCAACCCTACTTGAGGTGCAAAACTAAGACTGAAAACGAACAAACTAATTAATACTATTACCACAAGGAGAAAAGGACACAAATTCACTCCAGATATCGATAAGCCTGGTCTTGATCTTCTGTTGCTTTCACCACGAGAAACTCTTGGCTGCCTCGTACAAATTACAGGGTCACCATCAAGAAGACAAAGGCTCCCCAGCACAAAAGTAGCTTCTCCATTGTGAGGGGCCATACCGCGGGTTTCTGTATATTCGTCGATCTCTTCCTCTAAATCAAACCAACGAAGACCAGGGTACGACTCACTTTGAACGAGAACCATTTCACCATTTTTTTTAAACACCAAAGGTTTGTAACGATTACAAAGATGAGAAATACTTGAATAAAGCAAGGTCAGATTCTCTCGCTCCATATTCCTTCATAATCCAAATACCGAATTCGCTGTTGTTATAGTTACGAATACAAACACATAGATAGCCTCCCAAGACCTCCAGCTCAATCCTGACATCCAAAATGCCGTTGACCGGGCAGTAAAACTCACCATATTTCTCAGTGGCAAGATCAAGAGTTAAAATTATGCTCATATTGTTATCACCCATCACCCAATTTAGAGCTCCGTTTGAAAATTGGATTTTCGAAACAAGTTCAAGGCCCTTGGAAGGCATGCTTTGGATCTTCTTCCACAAGTTGGATTTTAGGCTGTAAACATGCACTTCATAAGTCAAAGTAACACAATAGGGCCAAGAACCATTAGAAATGTTTTCCCAAGACCACTTAGAAACGTCTACCGAATACGGAGTTGAGATCTTCTCAATTTCCACAAGTTTATAGTCATCATTAGTCGAATCATATCCGAATCCATACTGAGGACTTGAAACTGAGGGTGTGAAGGGAATTCTCTTGAACTTTTGAATGGAAGGATTCCACAAAGCTATCTCAGCATTTTCAGTGTTTTTAATGCAAACCACGCCATTACAGGATCCCAATATCGATATTTCACCCCAGCCGCGACGTTCAACCAACGGTTGCCAAATTTCTACGGCTGTGCTGAATGAATCGTCGACGGAAAGAGCCAACAAAAAGAAATCCTTGGTATAAATGGTACCCCATAGGCTAAATAAAATGGTGCTAGGGATGGTATTGATGGAGCGTTGAAGATGCCTTTTGGTGAAGCGTTCGTCGCGGATGTAAGCATTCCAAGCTTTGGAAACACACATGCATCGGATCAAATCCTTGGCCGGGAGAAGTACAAGGATTTCGAAGAGTAGCTCCGGTGGGAAGTAGTCTGACATGCTTAGGTTGAAACTGAAAGTTTCAGTCTAGGGTTTTGGGATTTAGAATTATTGATTTATGTTATCGTTCCACTTAGGGTGCGTTTGTTGCACTGGACTGTCTCGGACTGGACTACCTTCAGAGACTAAATTGGACTGGCTTAGACTAGACTAAGCTAGACTAACTTAGTCAAGCGTTTAGTGCAATGTCGGACTAAAAAGCAGATATTTAACAAACTACAATATTGTATTATTTAATACATATGTAATAATATTTTATTATTATTTCAACTTTTTTCCTTGTTTTTCCAAAAAAATCCTGCTCTGGAAACTTCTCTTTCTCCTCTTTGGTTCCGTCTGGTCCTTATCTCCCTCTTTCTGCTTTTCCATCTCTCCATTTCTCTTCGTCCCCATAACAACTTTCTCTCCCCTTTTCAATCCATTTCTCTACTCCTTCCCCAACTAATGGCAAATGATATGGATCTGGGTGGATTTTGGTGGTTCTTTTCGCCATCTATAACTCTACGCTAAAAAAAACAAACAAGATTTTTAGATTTCGGCGGTGGGCGTAGATGGCGGGCCGTGTCAAATTTTGATATTCAAGCGGTGGGTGTGACCGCATCGGCTGTGAGCTACTGCTGTTCCTCCATATAGGGCCACTGGAGAGCAAGCACTGCCGACTACCTAGCCACAGTGGCGGGGCCGCAGAAGAAAGAAGTTAGAAGCTCAGGGACTGGATGTTAGTGCCAACATCGATCCAAGTCTAGGTTGTCGGTGCAAAGAGATAGAGGAAGGGAGAGAGAGGATGCGAAGTGCAGGAACATACGAGAGAAGACGAAGGTCTTAGCAATCCCATGGTTTTGCGAGGGTCTCACTAAGAACTCCTAACGAGGCCTCTAATCCACGCGAGTCCCCTTTAGTCCCATTTAACTTAGTCCCAATACAAACCAAACATGGGACTACAATCTAGTCCAGTCCAGTCCCAATTAACGAGGCCAAACAAGTTCCCTCCATGTAACCCTAATGTGTCGGTTTGGTTTCTGAGTTATTATCCGAGTGAAAATATTAAAGAAGACTAGGGAGGAATATGTCTTTTTAATTTCTAATTGTGGTGGAAAAGTAAAACCCACTAATTGCAATTATTTATCTAGCGTTGAAGCTTCCCTTTACATCCTGGGAGCTTGCGCTGTTACTTTTGACCAATATTTTACATGGAGGTTGAGAGAAATACTAAAAACGAAATAAGATCGTATGTGATTCAACTGAAAGATCATTTTTACAACGGAGTACAAAAACAAAATTCGGGTAAACGCCTAAGCTAGGGTCACATTAGAAGGTCGTAGTGATTGAAAGATGATTCAATGTGGTGGCATTTTGTATGTTTGAGGTTTCGAACTTGCAGACAATTTCCTTTGCATATACAATTAAGCTCCAAAATTTGTTACCTTGGTGCATATATTGTCACACATGATACATCAATCATCATGCTACACAGCCAAATAGATCATTCTCTTCTTTCACAAGTTCTTGCTTCCTAAGGAACCAGTGACTTAAGCTAGAGTTTTGATATAAAGCCAACACATGCACAAATTTAGTGTACCTAACATTATTCAAAAATCACATGTCCGTCAATAAATGTTAAATTTTATTTGTTCTTCTTTCTTCTTAATGTTATTTGTGTTTGCCTTTTCTTGAAGAGTAGAACAGGTTCATAAGATAGTAAAAAAATATGACAAGAAAGACAAAATTGTTGTATTGATGCAATGGTCACAGAATCTACTTTGCATATTTTCTTCCAGGACATTTCATTGGTGAAATGACCCTTGTACTCTCTCTCTCTCTCTAAATCACTGGAACAACAGTGTAATTACAATCGTATCACAACCAATCAAACATATACTTCTCTGTAAAAACTTGGACCACAAGAAATCAACATATCATGTACAATTTGGTATTAGAACAAATAGCATCACCACCAGAGGCTTGAGTCCCAGCGTGGGACTACTCAGTAGGACAATCAGCAAGAATTTAGAAGAGTCCCCGCGCAGGACTATACGACAGCGTACTTTTGAAAGCCATTTAGCCACTACCAGTTCATCCATTGACTTGAAGCGCCATCTTCTATCCGATGAGCAGAGCACACACCGATGGTTAGCCTCTCTTTCCTTGAGGTTTCTTGACAGTCTTCAGTTTTGTGGGAGCAAGGAAATCATCGTCCTCTAGGTCACTGAAAGATATGTCTTCTTCATTGATTGCGTGAATAGCCGTTCCACTATACCCATCTAATTCAGAATCTTCCTCTGGCCAGTCATCATCATCATCATCTTCGTAGATATTATCTAGCATCTTCGAGGATGGACCAACTGTTAGATTCTTGTCCTCGCTCTTAATGATGGGCTTTTCTTCAATAACAGACTTGTCAATATATGGGACTTCATCACTCTCAACTGGGTGCTTCTCAGTCTCATAAGCCGTGGGGGACATCGTTGATTCATAAGGATACGTCCTTAGCATCTTGTCCTCGTAATAAACACTACATGATGAGACCGGAGCACAATCTTCATCTACTATATTGGAACTGTCTTTTAAAAAAGAAGTGTTTCTTCCAAATTGATCATGTTCTAATGGAGTCTGACAATGTAGCTCCTGCATCCACTTTGCTCTGGCTTCCATTACCTGCGACCAATATGTTATAGTACATTAAAATTCACAAACATAACAGGTTTGGCATGAACTTAGGCTCAATCACAAAGTATAAATAATGTTTTAATCTAAGAAAATATTGTCATTTTCCTGGAACCATCTAGAATTCCTCAATTCTAACTTTATTCCCAACCGGGAAGATCACCTGCGACCTAAATAGAAAATTGAAGTTGAACGCCTAGAACTACCAAAATCCACGCCATGATAATCCATCCCATGGAGGAGTTCAAGAAACTACTAGCATCCAACAACAACGAGAACTTTTGATATACAATCAAGCTGATCGTGGATATGAAAAAAGAAATGGAAGGCCGCAATCTAGAATTGGCATGAAGCAACATTTCGCACTTTATGATGCCACAAGTATGGTTTATGTTGGAAGCAGAAACAAATTTAATCAATTGACTGACGGACACTAAAAGTAATGATACGAAGAAGGAAGTTTACTTGGGGTGTGGATAAGACCTCGGCATCCTGCTTATTGAGCCTTGAATGCAGAAGAACAAAATAGACTTTCCAGAAGTAACTCTCGCTCATATGGCACGGACACAGTTCAAATCTCAAAGCAGCAAATCTTGGCGCAAGATGTTCAATCACCATAGCATGCTCTTGCTGGGCATCAGACATGTCAAAATCTAAAATAAGAAACGCGTATCAATTAGGCACCAATCCATAACTGGAAAAAGCAACAATCAAAAAAATTGGAAAGACAGAGAAAAAACTACTATCAACTTAGTTTTTCTGTGCAACGTAATCTTAACTCCTCTTCCAACAATTTTACAATGCAATATTTAAAATTTCCGCAGCTAATATCAATTGCTTTGTGCATAACATCCATCACCGCAACGAGACAAGCTACGAATCCTAAGCCACTCAACTGCCACAACACTATGCATTGTCCTAACAAACAATAGGGCAAATTCTATGTTCCTAACATATGAATCTCCAATAGCAAAACATCGAAATTCGAAGATTAACCCAACAATTTGAAGGAGAATAATGCAATGTACATTTCAACTGCACCAAAGTTTCCACATTTCTAAAATTCACCAACGAAAACTGAGTAATACATTGAAAAATACATACTGTATAAAATTTCGTATACATACCGCCCAAATCCTCCTCCTCGTCGAGAGGAAAGTCCAGCCACGTCTCCGGATGCATCGCGATGTTCCTGGCGAACGCCAATACCTCCTCCGTGACCCCAACGGCGCAATCCCCCTCCAATTCCTCCTCCTTCTCTTCACCTTCATCAAAATCCATCGCCGATTGATCGGGCGGCTCGGATCGATCCATGTCAGGAGGATTCGATCGATTACTGGACGGCAATGAAGGGTACGGAGGTGGCGGAGGGGGAGGCGGCGGTGCTAGGAACGACGCGACGCCCCAGAATTGGCGGGTCAGCGTCTGCTTGAATTCGTCCAAATCTTCCCTCACGCCTCGGGTTTGGTCGTCCTCGTCTTCGTTTTCCTCATCTGAAGATTCAATTTCGCTTCTTCTTCGAACGACGTCGTTGTCAGCGCTGGGTGGGGTTGGTGATCCATTGTCGTTGTCGTGGGGTAAGGCGTCGTTCTCGGCGTCGCCGTCGTCGTTGAGACGTAGAGAGTCACCGAGGGAGCGAGCGAGCCATGACATTTTTTTTTTTTGTTTGGAGTTGAAAAAAAAGTGACGGATTTTAAAAACAAAAAAAAAAAAAAACTGGGACGTTTGAAAAGGGTACGGGGAAAGTCCGGGGGAGGGATCCACCGGTTTTTGAACTACCGGTATCGTGTTCATGGTGCTTATGGGATAGCGACACGTGTTCATTTTTCCCGGGTAAAACAACCGAAATATTTTATCCGGGCACGAGATGATTAAGGTAGATCCGGAAATGATTTATCCTATCATATGGAGCTCGAAAGCTTGAAGCCCATATTTTAATGGATTTTGGGCTTAATGTCACATGGATAAAAAATAAAATAAAAATTGAATTTATCCAACTTAAAAATTCAAAAACGATTTGCCACTTAATGTTAAGGTCTTGTGGTATTCTCTTTATTTATAAGTGAGAGATTTTAGATTCAAATTTTGGCAAAGAAGAATTTGAACGACAATATTGCTAACTCATTGTGAAGCTTAACCCACTTCCCTACCCTTTTAATGTAGATAATATCGTTGCTTCAACAACAAAAAAACCAAATACAACCTAAGTTCCGTCTTCAATTAGGAGAAATTTTTGTGTGTAACCAGAACATCACCAGGGATTCCGGTGTTATAAGTCACACAAATTATAACGCGTTACCATGAGAAATTTCTACTCTATTACAAATGAATTTTAT